ACTAATATTTCTTTAAAAAAACTCCTTCTGCTAATTTTACTAGAACAGAAGTGTTAATAGCTATTATAACACTGTTAATAAAAATAGTTTGGGTATTTTTAGTGAATATTATATGGGTAAGTAATTGCTTTGTTAGCAGGTACTGATAGAGGATAATAATTTAGAGTTAATGATTTCTTTGGGAGATATAAATAATTATCAAGAGCAGCCATTTAATTGTATAGAGATTGTTATCATTGGTTTTGTTAATAACCATTTTATACAGTGCTGCAATGTGTGTTGGATTGTATTGGAGGATGATGATGATGGTGTGATTTTGAAGATGATGTTGTTACAAGTATGTTAACTTAACTTGTGATATACTGAAAGAATGTCTGAATGAATCACCATGAGTAAACTTTTTGTAACAAATGTTGACTAAGCTAAGCCGTATAGAATATTCAGTTTGAAGGCATTTACGTTCGTCAGTTTTTATGTATACAATACATGCATGTCTGCTTGTAATTGTATGTCAGGTACATTAACATGCATGTATGAATTAATGAATGTTCCATTGGTCTGATAGTAATATTTATCATCTGCTACTGTGTCTACTGTGCATGTTTTATATGCATTCTTCTTCAGATATTTATGATGTTTTTGTTCTTTGTGAATTTGTATATTTACTTATTTATTTGTTTGTTTGTTTGTTTTTGTTTGTTTGTCTTTAGGTAATTATTTTAGCCCACTTTATATTCAGCAGTATTTGGAAGTTTTATGCTGATGGCTTTGTTTCATTTTTATTACCATTTCATGTGCACTGGTCTGAATTTATTGGTTTATTAGTTGATTGTGCTAGAGAAGAAATGGCTGGTAAGGTTGTTTTGGTTGCTTGGTTGGTCGGTTGGTTGGTCTGCTGATTGATTTTTTTCTTCTCTATTGTTGCTTTACTTCTGTTTAATATTTTTTAGAACTACAAATTCAATTTTATTTTGACCTTTAGAGGTTCATTTAGTCACATACACGGCACACGCATGTATTTATGTTTCTTTTTACCATCCTCATGTTTTTTAACAATCTACCTGTTCGGGTAATTTTTTCATTATACGTTAACAACAGGCATGTCTTTAGCGTGTTAAGATTTTATATGTTTGGTTATATAATAAAATCTATTTAATTGCTCTCTTGGTCCTTTATTGCTTACATTTTTTCACTCATAAATTTCTATTCCATCTGTTACTGCATAAGTTGTTGTTGTTGTTGTTGTTGTTGTTTTGCCGTTAGATTTATGTTCAAAATCATGTCTGGATTTTGTTTTTTTATGATTTATTTGCTGTTGTTATTAGTATTCTCATTGTTATTGTTAGTACTTATCAATTTTATTTTGATTTTCTGTTTTGTTTTTGAGCCAGAGCTCTATCTTTGTCAGTTTTTGAAGGATAAATAAATAAACCAACAGTTTGGTTTCTAGCATTTTTATTTATGATAGTAAAGCTTGAAGCCTAATTTTTTCTGCAACTTTTTAAATAATTAACAATTCTATCAGAATTTCATTTATCATTATTTTTTCATACTAAATTTACGTATTCTAATCTAATGTGTAATCGGTTTATGGAATGAGAATCTTGATGTTATCACATTATATTCTGGATTTAATTTTTAGTTACCAATTTTTACTAATCTGTTAAGAAGCTTTCTATACCACAACTTGTCTGAAAAATACGTTGGCTTGGCAGACTCAGTATCAGTTGTATCAGTAAAAATATTTTGTTATGGTAATTTTTCTTTTTTCTGTTTTTTTTTGTTCTTTGTATGTATGTCCTTTGGAAGGTCTGCTTATATTGTATGTCAGTCACGTAGATGATGTAATTAATTTCATATGACAGTCATTTCATTTGGTTCTTCATTATTTTGTTCTGTTGTTGGGTTTATTTGTATTGTTGTGTGATTTTTTTTTTGTTTTAAAATTATGGGTTTGGGTTATTTTTGTGATCAAGCTAATCATTAACTACCAAATGCCATTCCATCATTGATCAACAACCCATGATAAGGAGTTGGTCATAGGATGTCCTACTGAATAATGATTCATTCACTCATTTCTTGGTCCATGGCTTACTATCAAATTATTTTAAATGGCAGACAATTTAGCTTATGTGGCATGTAATTAGGTATATATAGAATTATACACCTATATATATATATATATATATATATATATATATATATGTTTCAATGTGTTGTGTGTGTATTTATGTATATATGGACTTATTTAAAGTTTTTTTTCTTTAATTACGTAAACAACATTGTGTGTTTGTGTTTATTGTGTCATTTATAGTCTGAGAATGTGAGAATAATTTGTTTTGACGGCATAGCATGTTGATGTAACTACTACTGTGTGTTTGTTAATATAATGGTTATGCACATGTTAAACATGCTAAAACAACAATGCATTAACTAGAATGATACAATGTAATGTTTAGATACATGTGTGCGCATATATTTAATTTACATACGTAGTAAAGTGTCCTGAAAAACTAGATAAATCAAAGATCAATTGCTGTTAGCTGTTTGTTAGCTAGTCCTAACAGTTTCTATCTGTTTACATGTTTACTCCTAACTTGATAATTCTGGATGTTATGTAATAATTTGTTTCTCTCTATTTTTTAAGTTAATTTATAACGCATTTAGTTTTTTTTGTTAATGTTTATTACAGTTTATATTTTTTCTTTTTATTACTATTGGTGTCATTATTATTTTATGATTCTAGATGTTGCAAGCTGTTTTTTAAATAAATTTATTTGTCAATAAATAAGTTTATCCAGCCAAATTCATTTACGTCATTGCTTTGCTTTTCCTACAAAGTCTTTCATACTTTTTTCACTCACTTTCTCTCTCTTTTTATCTCTGTGTATTTATTTGTTTATGTTACTAGTTTTATATATATATATATATATATATATATATATATATATATATATATATATATATATATATATATATATTATAACTTTATTTCTCATTCATGAACTTTTAACGTTTGTTTTTTATTATTGTATATATATTTTTGTTGTTATTAGTAAATGTTAACCTCAGTTCAGTTAGTATGGTTATCTTGCTACTGATGACTAACAGTAATAACGGATGATGATATTATATTGATACTGATTGATGATACTAATACTACATTTTTTACACACAACATAACACACAGTTTAGTACAGAGAACTATGGTTTATATTTTATATGCCAGATATTATGTATTTTATATGTCAGATGTCTGTCTACTCAATAGAGTAAAAAGTGTGATCTCTGTTTAAAAGCCTCTTCTAAATAATTTTCAGCTATGTTTTTCTACAAATTCTGATGGCTAACTTCTAACCCATTCAGATTAGTATCAGTGATTCCAAGGTTCTAGGTGCTAAGTTTAGTTTTGTTGTTTATCATTGATTCTGTTGTTTATGTGACGTTTGTGAAATTTTTTTTGTTTAAATTATTAGTTTATGTTGCTATATTGTTATACTTGTTGTGTCTAAAATGTTAAGATTAATTTGGTCTCAATCCTATGTTGTCTGATCCTTATAACTATTTTAACGTTTTTACCTTCCCACACAATGAATGAATGAATGTTTGTATATATGTACTTTTTATTTGTTTTATTCCTTGTTAACATTAATCGCTTTCAGACAATCATTGGTAAACAATTCCTTTTAATTACAGATTTCTTTTTGAATGTATTTGCTGCTGCTTAATCTATTTGCTTAGTATTAATCTGATAAAGATCAATGATATAGGACTAAAAAATTGTGAATTATAAACCAATTTGTATGTCATTGAAAGTTAAGTTGCTAGAGATTAAATAATATTTAATTGGTTTTTGAGTTCATTCATTCATTAATTCATTCATTCATTTAATCACTAATTCATTCAATCATTCAACCATGCATTCGTTCATTCATTCATTCTTTTACTTGTTCTTAAACATGAAATCCACATTTCACCAGTTTTTATCTACTGCTATTTCAAAATAATTAACTTGATTTTAATAGGCATTATTATTAGTTTTATTATTATTATCATTTGTTATTATTTTTATTGTTGTTGTAGGTGTTGTGTTTTTGTTATTTTTGTTCTAAGCATTGAATGTTGTTGTTGTTAGCTATTTAATAGAAGTAAATATGTAAAATTGTGTTGAAAATAGCTCTCTTATGACAGTAGCAATTATGTTATTCTTCAGTGTATTCCACAGTAATAATAAATAATTGGCATCAAATGATGAATTTAAGCATTGATAGTGATGCCATCATAAGGAAAGTTAATAATAATAATTATTATTATAATTATTATTAAATAATAATTATTATTAAATAATAATAATTATTATTATTATGACAGAAGCAAAATTTTTTGGTTTAAACTTTATGTATTCAACTTATTCTTTATAATAGCAAAGTAATTAATGCCATTAGTGTTTGTGTGTGATGTTGTTAGTGCAGTTTCTGATGTCTCCTGAGATAATTATTTGTTTGGGTAGTTTTTTTTGTTTGTTTCCCAACTTTTTGTGCTGACTAGGAAGTGTAAGATGAAAGAGAAATGTAATAAGAAAGTGGGAAAATCTTCATTTTTTTCAATTTTTGTCATCTTAACGCTCATTGATGTCAAACTTGTTAGCCAAACGTTTATTTATATTTCATATTTTATAATCCATGACTGATTTGTTAGTAAAACTAAAGAATATAAAGATTGTATTGAAGGTTTAAGTGAAAGTTTAGAAGTTAGCCTACAACCAATAAAATCAAATATATTATTTTACTCTCTCTCTCTCTCTCTCTCTCTCTCTCTCTCTCTCTCTCTCTCTCTCTCTCTCTCTCTCTCTTCTCTCCTTTTTTTCCTCTCTTTACTCTAACTGTCTAAAAAATTTAATATAATATTTTATCAAATTCATCATAGTATTTGATGCATGAAATTGTATTGATCGGAACAAATGTAGTAATTGTAAAATTAAATTAATTTTCATTAAACAGTGCCACAACATCTAATTATGCCCTGGACGACAAGATTGCACAAGCAATGGTTAGTTGTTTGGCTAGTTGATTGCGCTAGTTTTTGTCTTTTCAAGTGTTTTCAATTTTTTTTTAATTTTTATTATCTCAAAGGATGAATGGCTTGATTAAAAATTTAGTTACTCTTGATAAACGATGCAATTTCTTGAGATATGTCAAATGAAACATGTTTGTGGTTATTTCTTGAAGTAATTCTTGCGAAATCATTTAAGTAGAAATAATTTTTAAAAAATATGGTTGAAACCTTGTTGAAAGGTTTATACATTTAAAAAAAACAACTAAATAAAATGTTTAAAATATACCTGGCCAGAAATTATAGGAAATATTTTGGTTACTTGTAAGTAAAAAAATTTGTTTAAGACCAGCTGACTGACTCATCACATTTGCCTATCCTATCTTTGTGTGGATGTACAAACATATCTGTATGTTAGCTTGTTTCTCTATGCATATTTTGGGCTCACATCTGTACATAAATGTATACATGTGGATGTGTGTGCTATATGTGTGTATATGTACATTATGCATGCAAGTGTAACATATTTGTTCTTGTGTGAGCTACATAACATACACATACCTTTCTGCTTAAACACAAATACCATCTTTAACCAACATTCTTATCTATTTTTCAAATAGTTTTGAAATTTCATTTGGAAATAAAATTTTCCTTGTTTTGTTTATTACAAGTAAATTTTAGAATCAGTTGGGCTATGTTTGTTTGGCAAGTCTTGAAAAAATTCTTGTGAAGATGAATTTGAAGTTTATACACCATGTGTCATTTATCTGCTGCCATTAAACAGTAGTTTTCCACATACAGACAATTTGTCTAAATTAATGGATTTGCTCTCTTCCATTTTTGTAAAGGGGTTAAAAATTTTCAAAATGATTTGTCAGACTGTACAATGTTCACAGCACTTGTATCAGATTACACCAACGTTTGATATATTTAGTTACAATTTTTAACATGTTTTTTATTATATTTATTGAACCATTGCTAATATTTCTGAAAGATTTATTACTAAATTATACTATTGAATACTTATGAGTCTCACTTTGTGGTTAATAAATTCGCTAATTTATTCTGTGGTAATAAAAAAGTGTCCCTGTCATTTCGTATCACGGTTTTAATCTGGATAGTATCTACTTATTTAACATCATGGAACTTGTTTTTTTAACTTTTTTTTATAAAAGAAAAAATATTTTCCCGTGTTGAATATTTTTTCCATGTTTATGATGTCTGCCATTAAAATGAATAGTTTATAACCAGTAATCAGTGATAATTGCACTGCTATCATGTGAGAGGGAGAGCAAACATTAAGGACAACAAAAGTTTTTTCATTAATTTTAATGTCTATTTCGAATATTTTTCACTTTTATTTAAAATAAATATATAGAAAAATTATAGCAAAAACATTTTGGAACTCATAGCCTGTTTATTTTATTAATTTTTAATTCAAATCATCGCCATCATTAGCTCTATTTATACCCAGTTACCCTTGAATAAAAGCTGATTGAGGTTTAATTAAGTGATCAGTTATTAGTAGTAGCAATAATAATACAATTTGTATTCAGGCAGTTAAACTATTTTGAATATGGTAACTAAATAAACTAACTGAAATAAAAATAATACGAATGACGTCCATATTTGGCTTCTTCATATTATATATTATATATTCATATTATATTCTTCTTATTATATTAATCATCATTTTATACACACAGGACCTTGTGAAGAGTCATTTAATGTTTGCTGTACATGAGGAGGTAGAGCAGCTAAAAGAACAAATCAAAGAGTTAATGATGAGAAGAAGTGAGCTTGAACAAGAGAATTCCATCTTGAGAGCCTCTGCCTCTCCGGAGACCCTGGCCAAACTTAATGTGATGATATCAAACAGCAACAAAGAGGCCATCAACGACAGCAACGATTTTTTTAATAACACTAATGATAGTATCATCTGCAGTGATGCTACTGCTATCTCTAGTAATATCAGTAATAGCGTTTTTAGTGATAATATTAATAATGTTACTACTACTTCTACTACTACTGCTGCTGCTGCTGCTGCTGCAAATACTACCACTACTACGACAAATACTGCATGTACTATAAAACTGTCATAATTTTAATGTATTATGTTCCTTTTTTATTATTTCATAAATTTTCAGAAAATTTTTTTTTAATTTCATAATAAGAGGAAAAAGGGTGTCCTATAATTGTCATGATGCGTTGAAAATTATATTATTATTATTTATTTATTTTTGTTCGTTTGTTTGTATGACGTCATTTTTCCTTCTTGATTTTTCTGTTTATAAGTGAACAATAATTAATAATCTTAAGTTTTTGTGATTAATCAATCAATGTTTATGTATTTTAATGTATATATGCAAATATATGTGCGTGTTTTGCAAATAAATTATATATATATATATATATATATATATATATATATATATATATATATATGTATATATATATTTATATGTATATATATATATATTTTCACATATGTGATGACATGAAAGATGTTTGGGTTTAAAAATTTTTTATATCTGGAATTGCCCAATTCCTAACCACAACCACCAGTTATAAGCAGTGGGCCAGCCTTTTTGCAGCTGAGCATTTTGGGTCAAAGGTCCCTGTTCCACGAGGCAGTGGTTTTAGCCTTCAAAAAAGCATAGAAAATCACCCTCTGTTGAAGCCGTTGTCCTAGGGTTTTACGCCACTTCCACCGTTGTTTTCTTTCTTTTTTCTTGTACAGTTGGTTCGTGGCATTTTATTTCGTATTGTTTGAAGTAATCCCAGACGGTCTCCCTGAAGTCCTGGACGCAATGGATAGATCGGCTTGGAGGCAGAAGCTAATTATGGAATAAAAAAAAGATTTTTATATATATATATATACACATATGTGTATATGGTTTTTTTTGAAATTATAACATTGAATACAAAAGATGTATTTTGGACGATATTGTAGATTAATTTACTACTACCATGAACTAAAATTGAATTGATTGATTTATCGACATGCTGATATATTTGAGAGGAGAGAGAGAGTGAGAAAGAAATGAAAAAGAGAGAGAGAAAAAAAAGAGATAAAAAGAAAAAGGGAGTGAAAAGGAGAGAGATGATTATTATTGGCTAGCAATGACAACCAATGATGGTAATCACGGATTGGTGATTATTATTGTTATGCTCAATGATTACTCTAATACATTCTTTACATGATTTTCAATGCAAACATTTCGCGTTGTATGTATGTATGCATATAAATTTTTCTGTATATAATATATATATATGTATGTATGCATATGCATATTATAAATGTGTAAATCTATATATCATTTATATAGTAATTTGAAACGTAATTATATTTTTATTATTATTATTCTTATTGGACCTTATTCTGATATGGACATTATTATTATGATTGTGTTATATTATTATTTTCAATCTTGTAAATTGTTGTTACAATCGCAATGGTCATTATTATTATTACCATTATTATTATTTCTTTATTATTATTATTTATTATTATTCCTATTATTATTTTGTGGTTTTCATTGTAGCTATCACTTCAGATGGGAATTCAAATGTAAGCACACCTCTGAATTGCTGAGTGGGCAAGCATACAAATGATAATTAATCATGAATTATATATTTAACTTATAAATCTAAAGTATGAGTTTGCGTTCGTTACTTGCGATGTAATAACATTACAGATATAAATGGATTGATGAAATGTAATTAATTAATTGTGTAATTATTTAATTTATCTATCGGTTAATTAATATTTGAAAAATAGCCAAAATAGCTTCAGATGGTTATAGCGTAGATAAATAACTTATGATATAGACTTAACATATGCTGACGAATAAACTGTCTATGATGAAAAAAATAAAGTGAAATATTCACTAGTAAAATATAATAACTATTTCATTCTGCTTGTTTGGTTCTTGGTGAAATGTTATGTACTGATAACAAATAACAATAGCATATCATTCAAACAGAATCTAATTAGTTATGCCTATTTTATCTCATCATAATTTTAGATGATTATTTTCCAAGTTTAAATATGGTGTGTGTGGTGTGGCGTGGTATGTGTGTGTGTGTAATTATTTGTATATTTTATTATTATTAAGGAGGTGTATGTAACGTAAGAATTTGTATTATCATTAATTATCATATACCATCATTTCCTAACAAACCCTTTTTCCTCTGGTTTTTTTTTTTCTTCTCAAATATATTTCGTGTTATATTTCGATTTCTGTCTCGCTGCAAAAATGAAATATACCCCACAATAACAACATTGAATAATAATAATATTATTATTACAGCTAGATATTTTGCTTTTTTCTGAGAAGCTGGGTTTAATATATTTGTATAATGAAATTGCGAAAATTAACATCGATACATACATTTATCGATGGTATGATGTGACTATATAATTTTCATTCTTCTAAATCGTTGTTATTATCTTTATCTCGAAGTTATTACAATATTTTGTTTGTGCGTGTGTGCGCATGTGTTTGTGCGTGTGTGCGCATGTGTTTGTGCGTGTGTGTTGGTGATGTGTATTAAATAAATAATATCGTATCATTACTATATAAGTCTGGATGTGGTGTTAATTCTTTTCCATTGATTTTTTTTTCATGGTTGTGATATGATTATTCCTTAACGGCACCGAAGAAACGTGCTAATTAATTAATTGGTTGATTGATATAATTAATTAATTAATTAATTAATTGGCTAATTAATAAAATCCTATCCTTTTATAACGGTTTGCGACTTAATTAACTGCGTTTATATCAACGACTAATATGATTGTTTATTTTAATTTGTATATTTTATATGCATGTGTGTATATGGTTTCTATTGTTAGCATATTCATATTGACTCCTATAAGTGGTTCAATTATAATTATATAGTATGTTAATATGATAATATATATGTTTAGTATATATATTTAATGTATATATACGTGTATATATAATTAATATGATAATATAATATGTTAATGATAATGTACCGAAATGATGATGTTAATTGTGATGATTAAGATGATGACCATGGTGATGATGATATGTTATGAATTATAAATCCAAGTAATAGCGTAGTCAGATTAAATTGTCTATTCATTCATTCATTCATTCTATCATTCGTTCATTCAT